GTCCCCTGGGGGCGAGCCGGCGTTATACTCGGCGCTGGGGACGGTTTTGCGCCCAGTCGTCGCCCCCAGCTCGCCCCCAGGCGCCGAAATTGGCCCACTTTGCAGCCCAATTTTGGCGAATAAACGGCCCATATGGGCGAGAATAGGCCCATAAATCGGCGTGGTTTGGCCGTGTCTCGGCGTTCAATTATCAACACAATTATTCCTTATCACATATTTCATCACAGAAAAATCAAATACTTCAACAAAATACTACAACAACAAATAGTTCAATACAAATTATATAGTTCAACAAATAAAAACTCGTATTTCATCACGTGGCGTCCCCCTTGAGCCTCCATAGGTGCTCAATCAGATCTTTCTGCAGTTGATGATGCACCTGTGGGTCTCGGATCTCCTGACGCATACTGAGATAGGCAGTCCAAGTTGCCGGTAGCTGGTGATCAACTTCGGCTAGAGGACCCTGCCTGTAGTATGGTTCAGTGCCAAACACTGGGTCTTCTTGCTCGCTCTCGATGATCATGTTGTGCAAGATGACACAGCAAGTCATGGTATCCCACATTTGATCTTTCGACCAGGTCTGAGCGGGGTAGCGAACAACAACGAATCGAGATTGGAGCACACCAAATGCCCGCTCGACATCCTTCCTGCAAGCCTCCTGAACCTTCGCAAACCAGGCGTTCTTGCCTCCTGCCACAGGGTTTGAGATCTTCTTTACAAATGTCGACCATCTCGGATAGATGCCGTCAGCTAGATAGTACCCCTTGTTGTATTGGTGCCCATTGACCTCGAAGTTCACCGGAGGAGAATGACCCTCAACGAGCTTGGCAAAAACAGGAGAGCACTGCAACACGTTGATGTCATTGTGAGTTCCTGGCATACCAAAGAAGGAGTGCCAAATCCAGAGGTCCTGTGTGGCTACCGCTTCAAGCACCACACTGCAACCGCCTTTGGCGCCTTTGTACATCCCCTGCCAACCAAATGGGCAGTTCTTCCATTGCCAATGCATGCAGTCGATGCTTCCAAGCATCCCAGGAAATCCTCTTGCTGCATTCTGGGCTAGGATCCGAGCAGTATCTTCCGCATTGGGTGTTCTCAAGTATTGTGGCCCAAACACTGCCACCACTGCCCGACAGAGCTTGTAGAAACACTCTATGCTGGTGGACTCGACCATGCGCCCATAGTCGTCGAGTGAATCACCGGGAGCTCCATATGCAAGCATCCTCATCGCTGTCGTGCACTTCTGGATGGAGGTGAATCCAAGAGCACCAGTGCAATCCATCTTGCACTTGAAGTAGTTGTCAAACTTCCGGACGGAATTCACAATCCTGAGGAAGAGCTTTCGGCTCATCCGATAACGACGCCGAAATGTTCTCTCGCCATGAAGTGGAGCATCGGCGAAGTAGTCGGAGTAGTGCATGCAGTAGCCTTGCAGACGATGCCAGTTCTTTGCTTTCACCCGCCCCGGCGCCAAGCCACCTCGACGCGGCTTTTCATTGATCGCCAGCAGCTGGGCGAGGGCGGCGAGCACCATCAGATGCTCTTCTTCCTGGACGTCGGCCGCGGCTTCCTCCTCCAGCAGCGCGGCGAGCTTTTCCTCCTCATCCGAGTCCATCGCCGAGACAGTCAAAACGCCGAACACCTTGCGCTCGGTGGGCGCGTACCCGCCGTTAAACCGCGCCTCCGCGGCCGGAGACGGCGGCCGAAAACGACCAGCTGCTGCGGGAGGGGCTGCCGCGGCGAAGCGCTGCTATTTTCCGGCGGGGAATGGCTATCTAGCGGAGTAGGCCGGCGGCCGTCGCCGGGATGTAGCTAGTGGTGGCCGAGGGCGCGAGGGGTGTGAGGCGAGTCGGGGAAAGAAAACCTTGACTTTCCCCTGTCGGTGTGGGCCAGGCGTGCTTTTCCCTAGCGCCGGAGCCCCCAACGGCTCCCCAGCGCGCCGGGTTCGGCCTGTGACCGCCGGGCGGAAAAAAGGTCCGAACCGGCGATTTTCGGCGTCCTGGGGGCGCAACTGAGCCGTTTTTTCGGCGCCGGCGCGAAAAAAACGTCAGGGGAGGCCTTCCTGGGGGCGCGGCTGGAGATGCCCTTAGTACCACTGTCTTCATACGGAGAAAATTGAAATTTCACCATTGCAGGTGTTTGTGGTGGGACATGACCGGGGGGCGCTGGTCGCGTGGTACGTGTGCCTGTTCCGGCCGGACCGCGTCACTGCGCTCGTCAACACCAGCCTCGCCTTCATCCGCAACATCATTGCACGCAACGGACCCGGCTTCGTGAAGCCCACCGACTACTTCAACCGCGCCTACGGCCCCGACTACTACATGTGCCGCTTCCAGGAGCCCGGGGTCGCGGAGGCGCGGCAGTTCGCGCCAGAGCACGCTAGGCGCCTCCTGCGGCAGATCATGTGCCACTGCTTCAGCCACGGCGTGGCCTGTGACGAGGAAATGCACGATGACAAGTACCCGACGTCTACGCTCCCTCCTTGGCTCACCGAGGAAGACGTGGACTACTTTGGCGCCGAGTTCAAGAGGACTGGGTTCACCGGCGGCATCAACTACTACCGCAACCTGGACAGGAACTGCGAGCTGGCTGCGGCGTGGGCGGACGCCAAGGTGCAGGTGCCGACCAAGTACGTGGTGGGTGAAGGTGAAATCACGTACCACTTCGAGGGGGTCCAGGAGTACATCCACGGGGGCGGGTTCAAGGAGGACGTGCCGCTGCTAGAGGAGGTGGTCGTCCTCCTCGGCGCCGGCCACTTCATCCAGCTGGAGAGGGCACAGGAGGTCAGTGATCATATCTACGACTTCATCATCAAGTTCTCATCTCTAACCTAAGATGGGATTCACAAGAATCCATCTACTGCTTTGGGTTGTCAGTGTTCGATCTTGCCTGTGTATGTTTATTCTTGGATCATCTGTATACCTACCCGTTCCGATTGACAAACGTTGATATATTGTTAGGGCCGGAGGTAGGGTTTACCAGAGAGGGGATGTACTTTACAGGACAAAACATATGATATATTAAGTCTTACTACACTTTATAATATGCAGCAAATGTGCCCATATGTTGCAATAAGAGAAAGAAATTCGCGCATGCCCCTAGCGATTCATCCATGTTGTCACTTTCCATCTTTGCCACCGTCATCAATGATTGTCGCATCGACGTATGTGATCAATCCCAAGGCGGTGAGCATGTCAGCACACCACTTTTCACGAGTCTCTTGCTTCATCAAATTTCAATTCCACGGACTCGTAATGATTTGGGGCGCCACCTTGTCTCTTCTACATTCAATGCATGTATCGTCCTCACACTCCTTCCCCTAGTCTATGAGCCACCCATGTCGTCGTTTGTCACCAGTGGTAGCCCTTACCTAAACTATACATACTTGTAATGATGGTGGGCATCGCCACCATCTCACTTGAAACATGTGCGTTCATACATGATACATTGTTTCCAGTATAGCATTGCAGCAGTGGCCAAGCGTTGGTTTGAGATATTCGACTCCGCCGAGGGGCAACATGTTGTGTTCATGTCGGGTTCTTAGGGCATCTCCAAAGCTGACCCAAACCGGACATTGTATCCGTCCCCGAACCAGTGAGGACCAATCCGTGGGCACTTATGTGGAAGCCGGCTATCCAACCGTGCCGACATACATTTCAAACTGGATTTCAACAATCCACACGATTTTCATCGAACACGACATAATTCAACATAGTTCAGATAGAAAATAGCATAAGTCATCCATAAATAACATGCAAATATCTCTAGTACAACAATAGTTCAAAATCAACGAGATAATCAGATGTTTAACAAGTTTTTCATGGATAGATTAAATTCAACAATATTAGAATAATCAGAGCCGACACAGGTCATCCCACACATAAACGAGATAACCAGATGTTCAACAAGTTTTTCATGGATAGATTAAATTCAACAATATTAGAATAATCAGAGCCGGCACAGGTCATCTCACACATACTTCCCCTTAAACTTTACCCAACAATATATGTGCGTAGTTGGCCTGCCCTTTGACCTACTGTACATCACAGCAGCACATGCAGGCTATACACAAAATGTAGAGCAACATTGAGTGAATGATAGAATTAACAAATATATAGAGCAACAAGAAGAAAATACTTACGATCTCCATGGTTGTCTCGCGCGATGGCCGCATTGCCTCCACTCGTTCAACCGTAGCACAAAACTTTATGACGGAGTTCTTGATGATGTACAATCAATGCCCTAACGATTTCACATAGAGCTCACAGATAATGTGCATGTCGTAGGGAGCAAAGTGCTTTCGCGCATGAAACTAACCATGCACGTGCTGCCAAAAGACCCCACCCCTTGCGCTCCTGCCTACAACGATCGCATATAGAGCCAACCATGTGTCACACACAAAATCATCCTCCTTCACCGGGTTGACTCTAAAACAACATGAAGTTGAAAAATACGCACAATAGCATTTGACCGAACACCTGCCGGTCGTGGAGTTCGCCATGGACGTCATCGTTACCGAGACGGAGGGTACCTGGCTACGGACGGATCTTGGGTGGATGGCGGCATAGTCCAACGACGGCGGAAGCATTGGTGGGGGCTGTGACGTCCTACAATGCCTGGGCGGGGGCGGAGAAGTATAGTGGAGGTGTAGGACAAGGAGGGTGCGGATGCAAAGCAACGAGGGCAGGAGCGGAGTGGAAGAGATTGTGACCATGAGGTGATTTGAGTGGGACGGGGTGTCCGATTCCTACGTGGCAGCGGTACGGCCCAGTTTGCTACCAATTTAAGGGAAAACGAACATCCGGACTGCTCCACGGACCGATAGGGTACCACATTGAAAGGCAGAATGGATCCGAACAGTCTGATCCAGGAGGGTGTGGACGGTTTGAGAGTCAGCGCTGGAGATGCGCACAAAACAGAATAATCTAGGGCTGTGCTAATTCGTGGTCTACCGACCTGTATACTTCACCATCAACCGAGTTTTTTCTGATTTGCACCGGAAGACCGTGGAGGAATGTAGGCATCAATCATCACAAACTCTGCTGCCGAGCATCATTCGAGAAAACTCTTCGTCGCAATTCTAAAACTTCAAAGAATGGAAGGAGTACTTCCAAATTCTCCAGCAAAATAATTTGTTTAGTAGAAAAGATTGACATGGAGACGCGCTTCCAAACCAACAGCCACCGACCGACCCTACGGGAGAATATCGGGTCATACAAGCACACAAATGCTCCCATGAGACCAATTTTAAAAATTCAAGTCTAGATGTGTCAAAAAATATCATAAAAAATCATGAATGTTCACAACATATGTGTCTACCACCCCTCATTATTGAGATCACAATTCGAAATACACATCGAGAAACAAAAAAAATCCAGATGTTTACTTTTTCAAACGGAGGCAAAGATTGCCTCATCTATTAATTAAGCAGAAGAGAATTGCCCAGTTAATTACGAAAAACCGGGCAAAAACTGGAATAACAAGGGCCAAGCCCACTCCCAAAGACTAGCACACATAGGGCAAAGCCCACCCTCATCGACAACATGTTGACCTGCAGCCAGACAACGCAGCTCCTACTCTGACGGAGAACACAGAAGAACAAAACCAGGCGAAAGCTGACGCCATGGAAGATCGCCGAATAGGCCACTTGCAGTCAGTCATCGTATGCCACAGGGCCCCACCACCACAGATTCGACTCCACATCAACAAACAAACCGAGGCAATACCGCGAACACGACGGAGAAGAGCCGACTACCGCAACCATTGCCACGTCGCCGACATCGCTCCCACCATCATCGTTGCCACAGAAGCCTGGTCGCCACAGTGATCCTCTCGGGGCCGGCTCCCCGACATCCACCGCTCCGTCGCGTCCAACGCACTCCACCGGCGTGCCTTCCGGGGCCGCCGCCCCGACATACCACCGCTCCCCTCGAGCAGCAACGCCACACAGCACAGCTGCCCGCAGCCCATGCTGCTCAGGGCAACCGCTCATAGACCACGAACGTCGCACCACATCCGGGGCTGCCGCCCCGACATAAAGTCAGACCGCTCCCTCTGGGGCGCATCGACTGAGCCGACAACCCCACCGCCCAAGCGGGACAAGAATACCACCCAACCAATGTTGAGATAGAGCCCACCTCATAGAGCTACCACTCGCATTGTTCCCGAGATCGCCATCTCGGAGCACAATCAGAAACCACCCGGAGCCGACGCACCGACGTTCACTGTCCCCGCCGGCAAAGGGGATCCATGCAAACTGCAATATGCTGACTCTCCAAGGCGATGCCTCAAAGAAGGAAATGCAATAGCCGCCGTCATCGCCCGCTTCGACCATACGAAGCTAGAGATTTCTCCCAGAGAGTCGTGTAATGGAGCTCCACGGCAATGCCTTCAAGAAGGGGAACGACACCATGGCGCCGCCGCCGCCGGCACCGACCCGAAGTCAGTGCTAGAATTTTGCCCGGAGCTCCTCCACACATCCGAATCGGATCATATCCGAAGCACTGCACAACACACAATCCCCATGGTCGACGTCCACTGGCCCACCTCGCGATGCAGCTACCGCCGCATTTCCCCCCGGCCTGCCCATGAGCAAGCCCATGCTCCACCGCCCGAGCACCGTACAGGCCACCCGAGCCACTCCACCAGGCGCCGCGCTGGAGCAGCAGCACCACGGCGGGCCACCACCGTGCCGGAGCAGGCCATCGGGCCGCAGATCCTCGCTGCCCAGGCCACCTGTGCACAGACCACCCGCGCCGCCTACAACCACCAGTCACTCAATCCAGATCTAGGCGGACCTCGATCCGCAGCCACTGGCGTCAAAGGCACGCCCCACCTTAGCGCAGCCAGCCACGCCACCAAAGGTCTCCAAGCAGCACCGCCGGAGGGCCCTCCGTCCCGCCACCGCGACCTGCGAGCACGCGGCGCCCCGGACCAGCGGCCCCGGCCCGCTCCAGGACCCTGCACTCGAGGGGCGAGAAGACCCGCCGCCGCCGACGACGGCAGGGCTTCACCCGACCGCGCCCTGTGGCGGGGGCGGGGGAGGAGGGCGGGCTCGGAGGGGACTTGGGACGGTGGCGGCTAGGTTCCTCCCCGTCGCCCACGGGAGCGATGCGGGAGGAAAGAAGCTTTTTGCGGAGACTCCCGTGTCTTGTTTGGCAATGCCGCGTAATGGGGACTTACAAATCCAGATGTGAATTGTGTCATTTTTACACTATTATGCTTTTGTCTTTATTGACACTATTTATGTTGGATTTGTCATTTTTGTTTCTCGTTGTGGAACAAAATAATATTTGGCTGTATCAGATGCTTTTTTTGGGGGAAGCATGAGATGCTTTTTCAGAAGGATAAATCTCACAACGGACCTGAGTTATCAGTGAACGAAATCAGGCGCAAAATGACAAAAGCCCCTGTGGAGTTAGGACTCTTGTAGTACAAGTAAAAATATATGAACATTCTGATTTTCCTAGTATAGCTTACGAATACAGCACTGCTAGTACACATTTTGCTTTCTACTCTCTTTTTTTTGAGCCAGAACCGTAGAACAATTGTTCTACGGTATATTTTCATTAATTGAAAAGTACAAGTACATATATACATAACAAAGTGAAAATCAGCCAATGCCAGCTCTAGGGAACATCATGATTAAATTAAGTATTATGTTCTCTCCAAATTCTGATGTTCTCTGCCTTGGAAGCTTTGGCTCTGAGCTCTGTAACTTGAAGTCCTTCTTTCAGATAGTGCTTCCAAGTGTCCAAAGAAGGTGCAGCCATTCTAAAGGTTTTATCGTTTCTGCTCATCCAGATGCCCCAGCAACCCATGATAATGATATCCATGGCAATTTCTGATGGGAGGTGGTTCATGGAAAGATGAATTTCATCATATACAGAGATGCCTCTTAACTTGTTTGGAACTATGGAGTGCCAACATCTCCTAGCGAACTGGCAATCCTAGAAGAGATGGACAACTGTTTCTTCGGTGGCATTAGACCATAGGGCACAAGTGTAGTCTTTCAAATACATGTTCGTCCTACGAATTAAGTTCCTGGTGCTGAGGCTATCACAAAGTAACAGCCAAAAGAAGATCTTATGTCTGAGTCTGCAAGCTATTTTCAAAGATATCTGAATATGTCATGAGCTGTGTTCTCCCCCTTCATAGCTTTGTACATTCTCATGGATGAGTATTTAGGTGATGTCCATATGTATGACCATCTGTCTTGGTTTGTGGATAATGCTTGACCTTTCAGTATAGTTTGCAAGGAGTTGAATTGTTCAAATGCTAGCTGAGATAGTGTCCTGTGGAATAGTTGACTGATGTCATTGTGCTCCAGCACAGAATGCAAAGAGATTGCCTGATTGATTGCAAAAGAATGTAATTCAGGGAATTTGGTTTGTAGTGGTAACTCTTGCCACTTGTCAGACCAGAAGTAAACAGAATCACCAATGCCTACTTTACATATGGCATGTTGCTTGAATACAGGGAGGAGCTTCAAAACATCTCTCCACCAGAAAGAACCCACCTTTTGTTCACCTGGTAATCTGTTCTGATAGTGTCTCTCCCAAATGATATTCACCCATGGTGTATCAGTCTTGTTAAAGAACTTATGCAGGAACTTTAGGAGAAGTGCCTTGTTGTGCATGTGAAGGTCTAACACCCCCAGGCCTCCATGGTTCTTTGGTCTGCTGACTTTATCCCATGAAATAAGCACAGTACCCCTGTCCATTGAGCCATACTTTCAACAAAAACAGTTCATAAGGTATGAGTTGATTTGCTTGATGACTGTTTTAGGTATCATCAGTGTACTCATGAAGAAAGTAGGCATACTTGTGAAAATGGATTTGATAAGGGTCAATTTATCTCCAGTGGATAACATAGTAGAGTAGCTCAACAATCTATTCTCAATTCTGTTCAACAAGGGAATGAAATCTTCCACTCTAGGCTTTGTGAGACACAGTGGCAGTCCCAGATAAGTGTGTGGCAATGTACCAATCTTGCAGCCTAAAAGATTTGATAGAGCATTCATTTTATCAGCAGGAGTGTTGATTGAGATCATTGTGGACTTAGCATAGTTCACCCTGAGTCCAATGTATTGAGCATAGTGTAAGAGGAGATTTTTGATGTGTTGTATATGTCTGTGATCAGCCTTAGCCACTCAAATGGTATCATCTACATATTGTATAATTGGGTAATCTAGACAAGAAGTGTGAATGAGTGGGGACTCAATAAAGGAGGCATTGCAGGCTTAATTGAAAATTGACTGTAGGAGATCAGCAGCAATCACAAAAATCAGAAGGGACAATGGGTCTCCTTGCCTCACACCATTGTTGCAAAGGAATTGTTTACCAGGAACTCCATTAAGCAGAACAGATGAAAAGCCAGAGCCATATATCATTTTAATCTAGTGGATCCATTTCTCACCAAAACCTTTATCTTGTAGAATCTCAATAATGGTGTTACGGTTCAACATGTCAAAAGCTTTCTCAAAGTCCAACTTGAGTAGTATGATTTCCTTTCTGCTTTGTTGACATTGGTGGATATATTCATAGGACCATGCAAGGCAATCTTGGATACATCTTTGGTTAAGAAAACCATATTGATTTTTGTGAACCATGCCGAGAATGAGCTTCTGAAGTCTGTTGGCCAACAGTTTGGCTATGATTTTGAGTGCACAATTCAGCAATAAAATAGGTCTAAAATTTGTCGCTGTAGCTGCATGGTACTTCTTTGGGATGAGGGTAATGTAGGAGTAGTTGATACTCTGAATGTTAACATGGCCTGACTGGAAGTCTACAATCAACTTATAAAAATCAGGAGCAATGATATCCCAACAGTTTTTTAGAATGCAGCATTGAATCCATCTGGTCCAGGAGATTTATCTGCACGCATATGCTTGATGACATAATCAATCTCTTCCTTAGTAAATGGTGCTTCTAATTCAGAAACATCATCATGTGGGTGGAGTAGTTGGTGCAGAAGAAGTGGATTTGAGGTTGGTACACTTGTCCCCATTCTTGCCTTGAATACTATATATAGTATAGCAGCTTTAGCCTGATGATCCTGATGTTCATGTCCTTGTTCATCTTTCAACATTGCAATACAATTGTTTCTGAATTTAATAGTAGCTTTGGATTTAAACACTAATGCAGGATGCTGCTAATGCGACACTACAATCAGAGACCCTTCGACGAAACTGTGTGCGATGCAATAATCGCAAACGGTGTTGTAAAAAAACCCGTTAAAAAAGGTGCAAAACATTTGCGATGACGGATGCATCAAACACAGTTCAGATTTTTGTTGCATGTGCGATTCAGGGCATACGGTTCAGTTCAATTAACTATTTACGATGATGAGGAACAAAAGAAACGGGCTGCTAGATGAAGGCGTTTTTGATGTAGAGCATACAGTTCACTCGAATGAACTATTTGTGATGAGGCGGAACAACAGAAATGGGCAGCCAGATGAAGGTGTGTGCGATATACGGCATATAGTTCACTCGGATGAACTGTTTGCGTTGAGCCAAGAGAACATAAATGGTTCAACTTAACAAGATGTGTGTGATACACGGTAAACAGATCTGTAATCAGAAATGTGTGGGAGGAATGATAACAACACAGACGATTCCTGTTAATAAGCCGTGTGTGTTGTGAGCAAACAATTGTTGGTATACAATTGTCAGTGGTTGATGAAATCATCACCGGCGGGTTCCCTTGTTTAGTCCGTGTGCGATGTGATTTGATCTGTCTACAGAGCATCAACATATGTACTTAAAAAGACAACATTGTATAACCAAATTGAGCATACAATTACACAAGTGACTACACACATAACATTTTCACACACCAAAGTAAGCAATTACATACATACTAAACTAGGAGAAACGAGGATCTAATCATCTACTTCTTGTTGTGATGACGCTTGCCATTGCTCTGCTTCCGACTGGATCCTTGGCTGTTTTGGGGAAGGAGGCACTTCCTCATGTCAACGATCCGCCTATACATGGCGTAGCACCTGTATGCCTCCTTGGTCGCGTACACGCCATGAGGTTTGTCGAGTTTCTCCATCCAGGAAGAGTTCCAGTCACGCTTGTCGTTGTTACAGGAATCCTTCATGCCTCTGTAGTAGGGGTCGATGATGGCCTCGGCGAGGTGAACCAGTGAGTCCTTCTCATGCTGCTTTCTGCCCCAGATCTTGTATTGGCCCTGGATGTTGAAAAGATTCTGGCAGGCGATGCTCGAATTCTTGAGCACCTTGATGTCGTTGGTGATGTCCATCATAGCAAACATGTAGTGGGGGCTGTTGACAAACCTGGTAAAACGCTCGCAAGGCCTTGTGGCCAGTTAGTAATGGTAGACGAGGACATGGTGGCGCACGCACATTTGGGCAATGGCGACCTTAGGACGAGACCCGACACAAGCGTGGGTGTGCTCGAGGTCGAACCCGACCACCTTGTACTCCTCGTCGGCAAGCAAGAGCTCCATGATGCAGATGGAGTGCTCCATCCATACCTGGTTGTTGGTGTACACCACTGAGAGCTCCGTGAACCTTCGGTGGGTGTCCACCATGGCATGCATGGTGAACTGCTGCTCGTCGTCAGCAGCCGCTCGGAGCGCCATTGGAGCCGCGTAGGATACTCTCTAAGAATTTGCCGTGGTGGGTGTGCTTCTTGCAATGGTGGGGCGCGATCGAAAGGTTGAAGAGACACAAGGGTTAAATAGCCGCTGTAACAAATGGGGGCAAGCCAACCTGTAATTGTCACGTCTTGTCACGGCGTTCATAGCGGAGGATTCCAGTGCATGCTTGACAACACCGCACCGCAGTGAGGATTCCAGTGCACACTTGACAACACCGCACCGTAGTTTGACCACGCGTGGGCTCAAAGAGGCGCCAAATGTATCATCTGTGAGCCTGTTCCCGCGCTACCGTGCAGTTTACCGTGCAAGCTTCCGGCCCGACTTGGTTTGCCACGCATCGGCTAGAAGAGGGACAAATCGTGGGTGTTTATTGGCAAAGAGCTTTGTAAAAACAAAGTGTGTGGAATGATTTCGGTCGTAAGTTTACCCGTGGGTGATGAGGTCAAAGTTACACAGAAGGGTGATGATGGACACTCGAGTGCGATAATTAATTCTGCGCTCTACAAGGGCACACAGTGGAAGAAACCGACTTTGTGCAATAACGTCCAAGATCGTAGTCGAGTTAGCTATACAGATCATGTGCTGTGAGATCGACAAGGTAAACAGATTTGAGAATGGTTAATAAAATCGAATCTAAGAACATTGCGTATTAAGTTCAAAATAGTGCTACCAATATACGAGTCTCATATGATGCCATTTCAACGATTGTACCACAAAGGCTCGAAATGTTACAACGTTCAAATTCCAGAGTTATATGGCTCAAATTCGAAGATTACAAGGTTCAAACTGATGTTAGAAATGAAATTTAGCTCATCATCTGCAAACGCTCACGTTGATCCGCTGAACATGGATATCATAGAGGTTCAAACTAATATTACCACTTCTAAGTCTGGTTTCGAAACCTCACAACTTTTGCAAAGGGGTCAGCCACTAGAAGTCATGTAGGGGGTTGACACGATGAGTTCCGATTACTCTGTCATTTGAAGTTCCAAAATAAAATTTAGCATTTTTGGATCATATTCCATTTTGCCGCAAGCGCCTGCGCTGATCAACAAAACCATTCATTTTCCCAAATAATTGTAGGGAAAACCTCATTACCTTCAGCACCCTTGCTCTGACAACAAAGAACCTCGCGAATATAATCTCCAGTAAGGTCCCTCGGTAGGAATTCAAAGTAATTTCTGAGAGATGAAAATCTAGGCATTCGACGTGATTGT